GGCCCCAGGAAAGCAGAGATGGAGCGAGGCTATCACGGATTTCAGGGCAGAGGAGGCTTCATCTGCACCAGGTGTCCCTGTGCCCGTGAGGGTGGGGGTGCGAGGGTCAGAGTGGCAGGTAGAGGCTGTCCCTGCCCTGTGCCCTCCTCAGACGTCCCCTGGCTCCTGTTCTAATCAGCCCCTCCGTCTCCTCTCCTCGCCAAGGCTTTGACTGCAGAAGCGCCTGGCTGCTTTCTGAGCCCCAGAGATCAAAGCCCTTGAGCTGGGTGTGGGCTTCTCACCCCCCCCACTCCCCACAGATGGATTAATTTCAGTCCCATCAGGCGGCCCAGGAAGCCCTCCAGCCTGTCTCCCCAGAGCCTCAATATCTCCCTGAGCTGCTGCCTCCTCAGTGCCCCCAAGCCATCCTGAGGCCTTTGGGTACATGTTTCAAAGACTCTGCTCCCCCAGACCATTAGGAAGTTAGTTCTTGTCGCTCAGTGCCTTCTGCGGCCATTCTTAGGCGACAGGTGATGGAAGAGCCCCTCACTTGCTCTGGATGGCCACCCCACGCCCCTCCCAGGGGCCACCAGGAAAGGCGAGGCTGTCTGGGTGGAGAATTAGGGGGCTTAGCTCAGATCCCTGCCCCTGCAGAAGACAAAGATTCCGTCTGTGTCTGGGTGGGTTAATTAGCTCGGGGCTTGAGTTTCCTTCCTCTCCCCACACCAGCAAGTCCTTCCCCCTCAAGTCTCTTCCTAACAAACCTGTTTTCAGGAGTCACTGCTGCCAGGCCCTCCCCGGACCTTCTTTGCAGCTCGACCTGGGTACTGGCTGCTCCAGAGATTACAGGTTATTGTCTGGTGGAGACAGGATGCTGCGGGGGGGGGGGGGGGGGGGGGGGGGGGGGGGGGGGCGCTGGGACCCAGGTTTGGAATGTGAGGCTGGATCCAGCTGTGGGTTGGCTGTCTCTTCTCCCCCACCCCACCCCCCTGCCAGCCACCAGCCACCAGGTGCGCAGGTGGTTAGAGAGTCAGGCCTGTTTCTGGAAGAGGAGGGGGAGAAAGTAGCAAATGGAGGAGAGAAAAGACTGGGGGACGGAGACCCCTCCCCCAGGAAGAGTTCTGGCAGGGGAGGGTGTCAGGAGTCCTAGCTGATCAGATAAACGCCCCTCGCCCCTCCGCAGTCACTGCCCAGGCAGCAGACCCAACAGTCTAGGTTTTAGACACCTGGGCAAGACACCTGGGCTTCATCCCCCACTGCCAGGGCCAACGCTTTGGAATGAAGCCTCAGTTTCCCCTCCAGCAAAACGAGGTGACTATGAGGAGAGGGTGATCAGAGGGTGAGTAAGGCTGGACAGGGATCCCCAAGGCCGGGCTTCGAAGTTCAGCAGCAAGAACTTTCTGGCAGGCAGAGAAGGGGCTCCTCTTTTCCTGCGGGCCTCTGTGGGCAGGGAGTGGGGGTTGCCCCTGTGTAAGAGGCACTAGGCAGGGACTGTCCGGGAGAGGAGGAGTGGGCGCCCCACATTCCCCCCTGTCCCTAGTCTGCATTTACCCCTCACTTCTCCCCTGGGGAAGGAAGTGCCCTGTCCTTTTCCCTGTGGTGGGCGGGGTGGGGGAGACCAGTACAGGCAGCTCCTGCCTGGCCAGGGGAGCCAGGGCCCAGTGCTCTCCAGGCAAGCGCAAAGGCCCTCCCTCTAGCCCTCCCTCTAGCCCTCCCTCCTGCCCCTCGCACCCCCACCCCTTCCCTCTGTCACTCCGGCTGGGTTTCATTTGCTTCTTCCTCTGCCTCAGCTCAGCTGTACCTCTAAAGGCAGAATGCTCTTGGGTGAGTGCTGAGAACACTCAGGTGGGAGTGTGGAGGGGGGCTCAGAGAAGTCGGGGGAAGCTTCCAAACGAGGGTGGGCCTCTCCCCACTTCCCAGCCCTATCCTTTCCTGCTATTTTGGCCCAAAAAAATCATCTGTGGAGAGACTCCGGTATTCAGTAAACCATTGGTGTCTTCCCCAGGGCCAGGGTTAGGTAGGGCAGCCCCCCTACCCTGGCTGGGAACAAAGGTGGGGGTGGTCTGGTAGGAAAGGTTAGGGAGCTGGAGGCCCACCCTGCAGGAATGAGGGGTGCTGCACTTCCAGACAAAGGTATGTCCTGGGCGCCTGGGTCAATGGCTCCTTGTGTCAAATCTTACCTTCTACTGCCTCGAAGGGGGGCCTCGCCTCTGGGGCGGGCTGGGGACTTGTTAATGCAGCGGGAAAGAGAGAAGCAGCAGAGAGAGGCAGAAACCTGGATGCCCGCTCCTCTCTTGCTCCATGTGTCCTGGTTCACCTCTCCAAACCAGTTTGCCTGGCCTTGTAAGGGGCATTGTTGGTACCCCCTTCTCTAGGGGCAGGGTCTGGAGACAGGGGGCTTGGGCGTCTTCCTCCAGCACAGGGAGGGCAGGAGTCTGGAACAATTTGTCTCAAGTGTTGGCCTGGCCAGCCCAGAAGTAGGGTGGGGGCTCTGTAGAATGTGGGGAGTAGGAATCCTCGACTGCTGAGGAAGAGACACCCTGCCATTCTCTCCCATTCTCTCTCTTTGCCTCTCTCTCCCTCCTGGACTCCCATTTTCGGCTTTATCTGTGATCAGAACAACAACTTTACTATCTGAGAGGGGGTGTGTGTGTGTCTGTGTATGTGCGCGCTCATACACTTATACCTCTGGGAGGACCCCACCATCTGCTCCTCTGATTTGGGGGTGGGGGTGAGAGACTCAGGCTACCTGAGCATGTGTGTCTGTGAGATGCATTTCACTCTGGAAGGGCAGGTGTGTGTGCCTGCACCTGTCTGTGTAGCGTGTCTGCACGTGCATCTTTGTGTACACGCCTCTCCGGGGAGGTGTGTGCCGCCGCCTGCCTGCTATTTTGAGTTGTCTGTATGTATGTCTGTAGAGGTCTGTGTGTCCTCCCCACCTGCCCCTCTGGGCACGTGCCAGCTGCGTCCACCTGCCCGTCTGTATTGCATGCTCATGCGTGGCCTCTGCGCCCTCCTCTGCCTCTGCCGACATGGGTGGCTATCGCTCTCTGCGTGAGCAGCACCTCCATCTCTAGGCACATCAGCGTGCAAGACGGTCTCCTGGGGGTGGGCAGCAGGTGGGGGAGAGGTGTATGGCAGGTTGCCGCAGCAGCCTGTCACATCTGTGGGGTCTTGTGGTATGAGTCCTGTGCTCCTCTTTCTCTGTCTTCCCCAGGGATGGCAAAATAGCAGGGGGTGTTTTCCCCAGATCCTGGGAGGCCAGTTAGGGTGATGTTATTTTGGGAGACATCTGCTCCAGCCTCAGCTAAACCCCCAAGGGTGGTCTCTTCACCACCATTCAGGGTGGTCTGTTCACATTTGACCAGAACACCAACCTCCAACCACCCCTGCCCCCCCATCTGAGGCAGCCAACCGTGAGGCATGGTTGGGGGGTTCCCAGAGGTGACCTCTGGCAGGGGCTGAGGAGGGATTCTTTTGATACACTGAGGGTGACTGTTCTGCAGAATGCCATCAGAGAAGACCCCCTGTCCCAGCCCCTTGGGGAGTCCAGAATTCTAGATCTATCAGGACCTCCCTTCATTTGAGCGTGCCCAGGGGCCTGCCACACATGTGTGTGCACATGCCAGGAATCCAAGCTCATCCCAGCGGCCCTGGGATGCTCTCAGCCGTGGCACAGAGGGGTGCTGTGGGAAGGGTGCTGAGGGGGTGGTTCCCAGCAGCTACTGGAGGGATCCAGACATCAAATCAACATGTGCACTAGGCCATGTGTTGGACAGCAGTGTACCCAAATATGAGGCATTTCTGGGTGACTCTGTGCTGACTGGAAAGAGAGCTGGGTCACCACATACCCCGGCACCTCGACACCTCCCTTGGCCTTCAGACCCATTCCTGTCCTGCCCTTTACTCCTCACCCAACTGTTAAGTCCCACTTCACAGAAGAAGCAGAGGCTCATTGCTCAAGTGTCCTGCCAAAGGCCTCAGAATCCACTGTAACTGGAGCTCCACTGCAGGCTTCTGGGCTCCACACCTGGGAGGGTTGGGGTGCAGCACCTGACATTCCTCCTGCAGGGATTCCACACAGTCATGGGCAAGGGTGCCTCTGAGCGTTCTAGCAGGAAATCATGCCAAGCCCCTTTCTGGCATCCCCAACACAAATGACTTATTAGAGTAAAACGCTGAGATTCCAGCTCAAACACCCCATGAGGGTCCCCGCCAGGCAGGAAGGCCAAAACCCCCTCTGCGGCGCCTTCCACGCCTCTGCTCCTGTGATCTTTTGGAAACTGCACTGCTCCTCTGCTGTGCCTTCTCGCTGCAGGGAGGCCTTTCCCTGGTGCAGTTTCCCAGCCCAGAAACCTGGCTCCCTGCGCCAGACCTCAGCCTGCCCCTGGGCGGCCCCAGGTCTGCTCCTGCCTCTCAGCCCTCGCCAGGCTGTAGCTTTCCCAGCGCTCCACCTGTGGGCTCTCACCTGCGGGCCCCTCTGGGAAGAGGGATAATGCCTCGCCCCCTCCTGTCCCTTCTGTCCCGGGGACCACCTGGTACCACCTCGGTCACCCCCGCGCGCGGGCGGCCAGGGAGAGGGTGATGCGGGGCCGGCCCCCCTGGGGGAGCCGCGGGGGGCCACCGCGCTGTCCACGACCCCGGGCTGCTGGCGCCCCGGTTACCGCTAGTGGCTGCTGTCGCTCAGTGGAGCCCAAGGAGACCGCGGCCAGAGCGTCCACCGCGCAAGATGGTGGCTCCCGTGACTCCGTGAGTGTGTGCGGGCGGGGCGGGGCGGGGGGCCGGGGCCGGGCGGGGCGCCCCCTCTCGGAGCCTCCGGGCCGGGGCTGACCACCCGAGCCCGCGGCCCTGCTGACAGGCTGGCCTGCGGGGCGGGAGGGTGGGGGTCCCGTGCCCCGCGCCCCGCGCGGACCCATCCGAAGGTTCCTTCATCACGCGCCCCCCAGAGGAAGTTCCCCGCGTCCCGGCCCCCAGGGTAGCTCTACCATCACCCAGGCTGCTGGGGGAAGGGGAGCCACGCCCTTCCTTGCTGGGAGTGTAGACTTCTTTTAGTGGGGTTCCCAAAGGAGGGGGCCCAGAAGAGCCTGGGGAGGAGGCAGGAACCACCATCCTGCGCCAAATACATAGTGTGTGAGGCTCACCCCAGAAGCACACCCTCACCCAGGGGCCCCTCAGTTGTGCAGCCTCCCAGGTGTGCAAGAGATGGAGAGCTCTGAGTGGAGACAGGTGTGCCCCCCAGCCTGAGTCACACAGCCCCTTTCCTGACAGCCTAACCAACCCATGTCCCTCAGGTTGTTAATGTTTGGCTTCCTTTGTTGATTCTTAGCTCAGTGTTGTCCACTAGAACTTTCTAGCATGACCTCAACATTCTCTACCTCTATCTGGGTTGCCTAATTAACAGCCACTAGCCACACGTGCTGCTGAGAACTTGAACATGGCTAGTGCAACTGAGAAAATGAACTTTGATGTTTTCATTTAATTCTGATTAACAGCTGCATGTGGTTAGTGGCTGTCATTGGGCAGAGCCGCTCCAGAACTGCATCTTCCCACAGCCTCCTCCCTATTCTCCTGTGTTTTATCAAATACATCCCAGGCCTCACCATCACTTTATCCCTGGGCAGAATGGGGCAAGGCAGCAGTTTCTGGGTACAGGACGGATCTGACCAACTCCCAGAGGGAGTCGCCTTGGCCGGCCTGTACTTCCTTCCAATCTGGGGTCATGGGCTGGACAAGATCAGAGAATGGTGGGATCTTGAGAGGAAAGGACATCAAAGGCAGCTGCTTCAGCCCTGGACAGGTGCTGCGGGGCCCACTCCACTGCTCTCTCTGCCTGAGAGCCTGGGCATCCGTACTCACCCACCTCCCACGTTGTGTGTTGCCCTTGCCAGGAGCCAGGCCTGTTCCTTCTCTGGTTCAGATGGGACAAGTTAGTCACTTTAGTGCTCCTGCCCTCCGGGAGTGTGCATGCAGGAGGGAGAGGCCAGACAAAACAATGGCGCTGTACAGAAATATGCCAGTTTGTACTTTGGGGAGTGCAATGAGGGAGCAAATAGGGGTTAATGACAGAAAAGAAGGGGACTTCTTGGGAAGGGATAACTAGAGGCGCCTCCTCTGAAGAGGGACCGGTTAAACCAAGATGGGGGAAACTAGAATAGGTAAAGTGTTGGGGGAGGGGTGGGAATATTCTGGAAGAAGGTACAGAATGTGCAAAGGCCCTGGGGTAGGAACCTGGTACTCTGGAGGAACCAAGAAAAGGCCAGTGTAACTGGAAAAGAAGGGAGGCAGGTGCACATGGTGCCAAGTAGGTCAGCAATGCCTGGGCATTCAGCAAACCTCAACGGGAATTCTGGCACTGGTCTCGGAGCAACACACAGTAGCGGAGGGGCTTTACGTACTATACCTTAAAACACCCCTCTGGCTGCAGGGGTCTAAATGGCTGACTGAAGGGTAAGAATGGAAACCCAGAGAGCCATCAGGAAGCAGCGGCCTTGTCCAGGAAAGAAACAAAGGTGGCCTGGATGAGGCGGGGGCCAACGGCATGGAGAGAAAAAGGGTGTTAGAGGTAGATGTGGAGGTGGAATCCACAGCTGGACCAGGTCCTGGGTGTGCACGAGAGCAGGAGCAGGGGAAGGCTTCTGGCCAGAGTGCCTGGGTGGGATGGCTGGGAGAGGAGCGTATTTTGTAGGAACAGATGGCGAGTTCTGTTTAGACAAACCAGGAATGGGGTGGAGAGGTAGGGGACCCAGAGGAGCAGCCCGGGCTGGGGTTGTGCCTTTCAGAGTAGCCAACATAGGTGATTCTGAAATCTTTGGGCAGTTCGAGGTTGAGAAGAGGAGGAAGAGGTGACATCATAGGTCCAGGAGTGGCTGATAAGGAAGGACAAGCAGGGAATGTGGCATCCTAGAAGCCTAGAGAAAAATGCATTTCAGGGAGGGCTGTTGTGAGGAGGGTGAGCAAAACCAAATGGCACATGGAATGCGGGGGAGGGTGACCAGGGGGTTTGCCCACATCTAGCAATATCAAGCACCTTTCCCAGCTTTGAAAGGGTTGCTCTGGAATTCCACTGCACTGCCTTGTCTTACCTACCTGATGGATGCCAGGTTCCAAGCAGAGTGCCAGGTACAACGTCAGGGGGACAAGATAGTCACTTCCTTCTGGAGCAGAGAATCCCCTAACCCACAGCCTCAGACAGGAAGTTCTTTCAAATAGACAGAACCAATCCTTTGATTCATTTAAATGATCAAATTTTGCTGAGCAGCATCTGCATGCCCAGCCCCGTGCAGGGCAGGGGTGCCTAGAGAACCCCTGTGTTCAGGCTGTAACAGGAGGAGGCATGCCAGGGAGATCTGGGGACACTGGAAGACAGGTACCAGCCCAGGCTGGGGAGGGTTGGGTGACAGAGGGGATACCTGAGCTGCTCTCCAGGAATGAATGGGAAGTGGCCAGGGAAGAAGAGGACAGGAAGTTCCAGGCACAGAGCATGAAGGTAGGAGCCACAGTAACAGGAGCGTGTGGGGGATGGTAAGCCTTGGGGTCCGCTCAGGAGACTTGGGTGGCAGGAGGTGCTGGGGGCTTCCAGAGGCTGGGGAGGGCCGCGCTGGCTCATGGCAAAGCAAAGGCACACAGTTGGATCTGTGTGGCAACTTGCTCTCTGGCTGCTGGTTGAGGGAAGAATTTAGAGGGATGACTGCCGAGGAGAGGCGGCTGCCTACCCCAGGGGAGCAGCGCAGCCCAGGGTCAGGAGGTCTTCTCCTGACTGTGCTTCTGGCTTGGTCACTGTGACATCTTGGGTGAGTCACTTACAGTCCCCAAGCCTCAGATCCCTCCTCTTCCAAGGGAGGCCCCCACCACCACCCTCAGAGCTTACTTACAGCACAGGGCGGAGCTCGGGGCTCAGGTTTCAGGTCGTGCTCCATCGGCAGTGGCAGTGAGTGCTGTGGTTACCAGCAGGCCGGGAGCTCAGAGAGATGGTTAGGAGGAAGAGTTTCAGCCTTTGGTCATCCGCTGGACATGGTCTTCTGGTCCTGAACTGCTCATCCTGGCCTCGTGCCTGGCAGATGGCAGAGTGAGGGAGGTAGAGGCAACCAGCTAGCTGCCTTCAGTCTGGGCCCAACCCCACTTCTGGGCTGCTCTCCCCAGAACCACTGCTGTGTGCCTGCGTGCCTGCGTGCGTGCGTGCACTTGTGTTCTTAGGAAAAGGAGCATCTGAGAAAACAGATTCTGTTCCTCAGTCCTGGGGCTCATGACCTTGGCTTTGTGCTAACTTCCTCCTAATGCAATAAGTGAGCTGGACTGGAGGACCAGTCATCCTTTGGGCGAGGCTCAGCAGGTCTGAGTTTTAGTCCTGGCTCTGTCATGAATGATTCATGATCCTCCCCGCTCCCCAAATCCCCCCACCCTCTGCCTCCGAACTCAATCCCCCCCTCCATAAAATGGGGTGGCACAAATGGTGCCAGTCTCTCCAGCTCTGCATCAGTGGTCAGCACTAGTGCATGTCTTGTCCTGGATGGAGGGAGACCCTTGGAGGGGCCTAAGGCCGCAGCCTCCCAGCCCTTTGCAGGACCCACCTGCAGAGCTCCCAATAGCCCTCCCTCATTTGGTGCAGTCCAGCCCTGAGCTGGGGAGAGCTCTGTGGGCTGCATGAACCCACAGCGGACCCCTAACACCTCTCCCTTGTTTCTTTCATCTCCAGTCTCCCACCGGCAAAGCAGGAATAGACTTTCCTGGCTAAGTTAGATGGACAGTCCTGATTAGCCTGGCGGGCTGCCCACCTCCTGCCTTCCCACCTTTCCTCTGGTCCAGGGAGGTGCCAGGGAGGCTGGGGGGCCAGGGCTTTTGGGTGGGGGTTGGGAGTACCCAGCCCCTGGAGCAGGAATGGTGCCCCCGGGTAAGAAACCGGCCGGTGAGGCCTCCAATTCCAACAAGAAGTGCAAGCGCTACTTCAACGAGCACTGGAAAGAGGAGTTTACCTGGCTGGACTTTGACTACGAGCGGAAGCTGATGTTTTGCCTCGAGTGCCGCCAGGCCCTGGTTCGGAACAAGCATGGCAAAGCTGAGAACGCCTTCACTGTGGGCACTGACAACTTCCAGCGCCACGCCCTGCTGCGCCATGTGACCTCGGGGGCACACCGCCAGGCCCTGGCTGTCAACAGGGGCCAGCCCACGTTCGAGAGCCAGGCCGAGGGAGGAGCAGCCTATCCGGGGCTGGCGACCACCCCCACCCCCAGGGGCATCAAGGTGGAGGTGGACCCGGCAAAAGTGGCTGTGCTGACCACCGTGTACTGCATGGCCAAGGAGGACATGCCCGATGACCGCTGCTCTGCCCTGCTGGAGCTGCAGAGGTTCAATCTGTGCCAGGCGCTGCTGGGCACGGAGCACGGTGACTACTACAGCCCCAGGAGAGTGAAGGACATGCAGGTGGGTGGCAGCCAGGTACGGCTTGGGGCAGAGCAGGGGGTGGGAGGACATCCAGTGGTGTGGGCACAGCCTTCCCTCCCCCCAAGTGTCAGGCACCCCTGCAGTGGCCAGGAGCTCCAGTCGGACCTTCACCCAGCAGTCTTCACTGAGGGCTACTTGTGCCTCGGGGAGCACAATAGCAGAGGCCAGACCAAGGCTGTCCTTGGGGACCCCGGGCCCTTCCCCCATGGGCATATAGGTTTAATTCGCCCGCAGTTGTGTTTTGTTGGTCTTCACTGTTTCCAAAAAATTTTAATTCCTTTCTGAGTTGAACAAAATAAGAGATCACTTGTAATAAATTCAGATTTGTGACTTCTGCTAAACCAGTTCCCCCCACTCTGGGGACATGATATGGTGACACTGGAGAGTAGGACATGGGCTTCTCCATTCCCTTTGGTTTATCCCTGGCCTGCTTCAAGCTCCAAATCACCCAGTGGCCCCTGGAGGCAGGCAAGTTGCAGCTCAGTCCTAGGGACTAGCTGTGTGAGTCCTGGGGGCCAGTGTGGGGGTGGGGGAGCTAGAGCTCACCCTACAGAGAGATGACAAAAAGAGTGGGGGATGGGAGTGAACATGGCTGTCAATTAATCCCTCAGCAGCATATTAGGGAGGAGACCTACAGGAATAAGGCAGATTGGGGCCACCTTAGCAACACACACACACACACACACACACACACACACACACACACAGACAGACAGACAATGCTATAGAACCTTTATGGTTCATAAGCACTTTACATTTATAAACCCAACAACAGTTACATTTAGAATTCACAACATCCTTTTAAGTATATTGGGGGCTGGTATGCCACTGATTTTAGAGCTATGGAAATGGGGGCTCAAAAGGGTGAAATGACTCGCGCAAGATCCTGCAGCCTTAAATAGCAAAGCTAAGTCCCTAAGTCTGACCCCAAGGCCTTTCCTGCCTGTCTCCCCTTCTCAGGACAAGCCTAACTCTATCCTCCCTCCTTTCTCTCCCTGGCTGTCCCAGGTGGCTATTGCCAGTGTCTTGCACACAGAGGCCTGCCAACGCCTGAAGGCATCCCCATATGTGGGGCTGGTACTGGATGAGACCAGGGACTGGCCTGAGTCCCACAGTCTGGCCTTGTTTGCCACTTCGGTGTCCCCGTGCGATGGGCAGCCAGTCACCACCTTCCTGGGCAGTGTGGAGCTCCAGGAGGGCGAAGCCACTGCTGGCCAACTCCTGGACATCCTGCAGGCCTTTGGTGTGTCGGCACCCAAGCTGGCCTGGCTCAACTCCAGCCTCCCCAGTGACCGCCTAGGGAGTTTGGGCCTGCAGCTCCAGGCCACCTGCCCGCTGCTCACTGAACTACATTGCCTTCCTGGCCGGACAAATCCAGCACCCCCTGCCTACCTTGGTGAATATGAAAGTGTACTGGATGCCCTATTCCGCCTTCACGGTGGACCCAGCTCCCACATGGTCCCTGAGCTCCGGGAGGCACTGGACCTTGCAGCTATTGACTTGACAGGACCACGGCCAGTCCCCTGGGCTTCCCTGCTGCCTGTGGTGGAAGCAGTGGCCCAGGTTTGGCCTTGCCTGGTGCCCACACTGGAAGCCTCTGCCCCAGCCTCACCTACAACTAGGGCACTGGCCCTTGCCCTACGCCAGTTTACCTTCGTGGCCTTCACCTACCTGCTGCTGGATGCTTTGCCCTTGGTGCAGAAGCTCGCCCTCCTCCTGCAGTCGGAAGAACCAGACTTGGGCTTGCTGCAGCCCCTGGTAATGGCAGCTGCCGCCTCCCTTCAAACGCAGCGCAGCTCTGGTGGGGCCCGCCTTCAGGGTTTCCTGCAGGAACTGGCATCCTCTGGTAAGGACAATGAGGGCAGTGGGCACTGCACCTACCGCGGCGTGGAGCTGGTCGGCTACTCCGAGGCTGCGGCCCGGGGTTTGGAGCGGCTACGGGGCACGTTCCTGGACTCCATGCAAAGGGGGCTGCGGGACTCCTATCCCGGGCCTTCGCTAGACGCCATAGCCGCCTTCGCAACCATCTTCGACGCCCGCCGCTACCCGCAGGCGCCTGAGGAGCTGGGCGCGCACGGCGAGGGGGCGCTGCGCATCCTGCTGCGCGCTTTCGCCCAGGCGGTGGAGCGCCCGCGGGCGCTGGGCGACTTCGCCCTCTTCAAGCGCGTGGTGTGCAGCCTCGGGCGGCTCGGCCCGCGCGCCCTGTGCGCCAAGTTGGCATGCACGCATTCGGAGCTACACGAGCTCTTCCCTGACTTCGCCGTCCTCGCCAACCTGGCTTTGGCGCTGCCAACGGGCGCCAGCCTTCTGGACAAGGTGGGCCGCAGCCGGGAGCTGCGGTGGTGGGGCCAGAGCAGGGCCGGGGAAGGCCGGGGCGGCCCCGCGGTGAAGATCGCTGTGGATGGACCCCCGCTGCACGAATTTGACTTTGCACTGGCGGTGGAGTTCTTAGAGAGCAGGTGGGGGGAGCGACTCCTGGGGTCACAACTCAATTGAGGGCCACCTGCTCTGGTGCAGCCAGCTTGGGGCTCTGGGCTCTCTCAGGGCCAAGGAGGGCCTGACTGCTGTTCCCAAGCAGACCTACTAACTGTGGCTTCCCACCCACCTGTGGGGCTGCAAACTAACCCAGCCCCTTGGTGGTTGCAGAGGCACTGGCTCAAAGGGGTATGGGCTAGTGGGCAGAGAAGCTAGGGCCTGGGGCACCCTAAATATCACTCCTGATCTTTCCGGAATTTAAGGAGAAATCACTTACCCATTTTCCACTGGTTTTGGCCCTAGAAAAGTTGGGGGTCTTGGTTGGTGGGTGCAGAAGACAAGGTCTTGGGAATTGAGGGGTTGAGGGAAAGAATGGAGCCTTGACTTAACCCCCTCCTGGCAGTGCCTCTTCCCATAAGTTAGGGGTGGAGAGCAGATCACCATCTGAGTTTCTGACACTCAGCTCAGCACCCTCTCTGTGCACAGCTGAACAGTTCCAGGGAAACAGCGGTGCACAACCTGCCCCACCATAGGCTGCCTGAGACTGTATATGACCGTGTATATAGACGTATAAGGCTATGAATGTAAAATAAACCTACCCTTTCTTAGAGTTAACACAAAAATCTAAAAGGACTTTTGGTTTTGCAATGACAGGGTCCAAAAAAGTCCCAAATGGACTTGATTTATTTCTAATTTTTTTCTTCCTCCAAGCCTGGTTCCTCCTCGAGTTCCTAGCCCTTCCTTGCCTCACCTCAGACCTTTAAGACCAAAGACTGTCCAACCACAGAGCTGTGCTGGCCTCAGGAGAGCCTAGGGCCTCACCAGAGCTGGGGGGAATGTCCTTTCAGACTCCATCAGGTTTCCCATGCCTTCTGTCAACTCTGCAGCCGCCATGAATGTGAGGGGATCTGGAGGAGGGTGGTTAGTGAGAGGGGAGGGGCCTGACCCTTTCCCAGGCCTCCTGGGATTGGGGCTAATTTGCAATAAAGTGAAAACCCAGCACCGCATCATGCAGTCTTGGTGGTGGTTGGGGGGTGGGGTGGGGGTGGGGTGTCAGGGGCCGCTCTCCCCTCCTCCTCTCCCTGGGCTGGACCTTCCCCCTCACCCCCATTTGGCCCATATACTGCCTCTGGAGGGGCGGGAGGACCTCCTTTTGGGCTGGGAGACTTGCGCTGTGAACTCCCTGCTTTCGCTTCCCCAATTGCAGAGCAGAGAGGCACCAAAATGGGCTACAATTGCTCTGGGCTTGGCCAGTGCTACTTTTTATTTATTTATTTATTTATTTATTTATTTTTAAAAAAAAATTAATTTTACCAAACTAAAACAACTCTATAAGTAAACATAGCCTTCAAAAATTGAAGGTGAAATAAAGATACTTTTCAAAGAGGAAGATAGAGTGTCTGCCCTGGCTCCACACCTGAAGCCCCTAAGCCTCTAGTTCTGGCTGCCGGGACAGGAGAGAGCCTGTGGCTTCCCAGTTCAGACCCTGCCCTTCTTCCTCCTGCAGCAGGCCCGGCCTCCAGCACCCCCAGCCCCCTGCTGGCTTCCCTGCCCCTGCCCACCAGGCCTCTGCAGCCCCCGCTGGACTTCAAGCACTTGCTCGCCTTCCACTTCAATGGCGCCCCGCTCAGTCTCTTCCCCAACTTCAGCACGGTAGGGGCAGGCGGGGCTGGGGAGGGGGGCATTGGCCAAACTGGGGATTGGGTGGGGAAGGTGGGTTCAGAGAAGCCAGCTCTCAGAAGCTGGGTCTAACCAGGAGCTCATTCTCCTCCAACACCTCCCAGAATGACTATAGGGGCTCTCCCAATAGGGGTCCCTGGGTCCGGCTCACCCCTAGGACAAGGAACCCTTCCCCCAATATAACAACTGCTGGGCCTGTAGACTGCAAGCGTCACTCGAGGGTTTGTATAGGGGCTTCCGTGGCTTCTCTGTGTGCATCTGGGTGCAGGTGGGGTGCGCCCTTCTGTTTTAGTTTGTGCCTCTATAGGTCTATGTGTGTTGCTTGTGGATGAGAATGTGTGTTGTGTTTGTAAACAGCTCGTTGTGCTGCATATTTAATCTGTGTGTGTGTGGACTCAGGAAGTGTTTGGTGTCTCATCACTGAGTGCGTGGGCAGGTTGGGTTGTGAATTTGTCTGTGGTCACATGTCATTTCTGTGTGTGTGTTTGCAATTTGTTACTGTCTGCAAGCTGTGTGCTCTGTGTCTGTATATTGGTCTGTGTATTTCTGTGTGTGTGTGTATGAGAAAGTCAAGTGCCGTGAGCTTGAATTTTACTTCACATATGAGCTCTAAGGAATATCCCCCCTTTCTTTTAATTCTGATAATCCAAATGTCATCAGTGACAAGCTCCCCCGCCTCAGCCTGACAAGATGATGGGAACTTCCATCTCAGTCACCTTCCAGGGCTGTAGAGACTTGAGGACCCTGAGACAAGGGGCGAGCCCTCTGGTCTTCGGCCCTGCTGTCCCTTCCATACATGCTTGCTGTTGGGGCAGGTTAAGGCGAGAGCGCTGTCCCATCACTGGGCGCTGCAGGCCACTCCCAGAGGTGGTCTCTGCACCCATTGTCCCTGGGTAGACTCTCTTCCTGTGTTTGGAATTTTCTGAAACCATACTTTTCTCTCAAGGCCTCTGTTTTCTCTCCTCAGGAAGGTTTGGCAAGTTCCCCTTGACAAGCCTGGGCAGCTTCTGCTTCGGGGCCAGCAACCAGGTCCCTGAGAACAGGGGACATAAAGACTTGGTTTGAGAGAGGAAAAGATATTGAAAATAAGGAAAATCAAAACCACACTGATTAATTTTTCAAAGAGAGATCGTATTGCTCGGGCCTCCATGGCTGCCCCACCCCAGCCTCCCTCTCCCTAGCAGGCCAGGGAGTGGAACAGACAGGACAAGCCCACAACCCACAGACCCAGCACAAAGGCTGGGTTATGCGAGAGGAAATTCCAGCAGAGGGCTTCCTGGTCCCTTCCCTGCCTCTCCCTGCCCCAGTTCTTTTTTTTTTTTTTTTTTAAAGATTTGTTTATTTATGCATATAAGAGCTGGGGTACAGGCCAGAGATGGGGGTGGGGTGAGAGGATTCACCAAAGACAGAGCAGGGAACAGAACAGGCAGACTGAAACACACTGCTGAGGGGAACAGCCGGCGAGACAGGAGAGGTCTGCTGTGCCATGTGGGTTTCTCTCTGGCCAGCTGGGGATCGAACTTATGCTGCAGAGGCTGTGGATTGCTTCATAGTGTGTTGTTTAACCCCTTGTGCCACCAGGGAGGCCCTCCCTGCCCCAGTTCTATCCCAATAGTTGTGATTCTTGCGAAAGAGAAAAACGATCAAAAAGCAGACCAGAGTAGGGCCTCCCCTGGTGGCGCAGCAGTTGAGCAGTGGGCTGCGAGGCTGCCCACAGCCTCTGCAGCGCTGGCTTGTTCCCCCACCGCCGGCGAGGGTCCCACAAAAAAAAAAAAAAAAACAAAACAGACCAGAGTAGCAAAGCTGCCCAGGCCATCCTTGGCACGTGGCTCTGTTCTTCAAGCCTGGAGGTTGCCCTGGCCAGCCCCTGCCTCCAGCAGCATCCCAGCTGACAGGTCAAGTTGGCCAGGGAAGAGGCCGATTCTCTTACCCTGTGGCTGCCATCTGCAGGAGGGCAGATTCTTCCAAGGGGCTGACCACTGCCCTCCTCCACAGTCTTTAGTTGTGGGCATTCTGTCCTGCCCCCTACCCCTGCTTTCCCAGGCTGACCCCAGAGTTACTATGCCCTCCCGCCCCCTTCACAGATGGACCCAGTCCAGAAAGCTGTCATCAGCCACACGTTTGGGGTCCCCTCCCCTCTGAAGAAGAAGCTCTTCATTTCCTGTAACATCTGTCACCTGCGGTTCAACTCGGCGGTGAGAGAGTAGTGGACACAGGCTGGGCAGGGGCCGGGCACTGGGCTTCCAGGGTCTTTCCTCGAGGAACGGGGGTGGGGCAAAGGGGCGGTGATATTTTCTGTATTTTCTGTCCTTGGTTATAGAAGAGGCACTTGTGTTCCTTTACCCCATCTTCTTCTCTCTCCAGATTTCTCTGCCCCTTCTATCTTTAGTCCCCCTAGGGTTCCCTATTCCTCCCCTATCCTCTCTCCTGTCTTCTGGATCCTTCTACAAGAGAGAAAACTCTCCTTTCCCACTCTGGGTGATAGGGGCCACCCCATCAGCTCCTGGCCCAGAGTTTTTGAAGCTCCTGAGTGTACAACATGTGTTCATGCCCATCATTAATTAGTTCTCATGATAAATCTGAGATGGCCAGAGGTGCTATTATCATCCCCATTTCAGATGAGAACTGAGCCTCAGAGAGGTTAAGTGACTTGCCTGAGGCCACACAGCTGGTAAGTAGTAGAGCTGGGATTTGGACTCAGGCCTAGTTGACCCTGAGAATCACATTCTTTCTAGAACATTCTGCCCCTCGGTAGTAAAGGAGCCACATCCTGCCTCCCACGAATGTTCACCTTCTGTTCAGGCAACTGTGTGGTTTGGGAAGATGCTGTCAGAGGACCAGGGACCCTTGGTTGAAGAAGGAAGGACCCTGACAGGCAGGGTTTGGGGATCCCCTCCAGACTTTCAGGTGCAGATAGATGGAGGGACTTCAGGCGGGAATATGTCCTGTGATGGTGGGCCTGGACCAGTGCATGGCAAAGGCTCCATAACTATTTGCTAACAAAGCAGAGAAAGGGGTGAATGTTTGTGGGGTACACACTCCAAAGTGTGAGGATGGCTCTCTTGTTTGCATTTGTGCATTTATAGATTTAATAACCAGCTTTCATTGAGCACCTACTGTGCGTACTTCACCTTGTCATTCATATTCTTCTCACAACCCTGTGAGGTCAGTACAGTCAGCACAAAAGAAGGAAACTAAGCCTCAGAGTTTCAGAGAGCTGATGCCACTTGCCCGAAGATGCACAGCTAGGAAGTGGCGGGGTCAGAATTTGAAGCCAGAAGCTGCTTTCCTGGGAGCCTGTGCACATCTGAGGGTGTGGTCTCTAAACCTCGGAGCCACCAGCACACAATGGCAGCAGTGACAAGGAGTCGCCTCGGTGTGACCCAAGTCCTGCCCAGTGCCAGCACTTGGATGGGGCATGTGGACTCAGCAAGTGAATGATAACTCGTATCCTCCCCTCTCCAGAACCAGGCCGAAGCACATTATAAAGGCCACAAACACGCCAGAAAACTGAAGGCTGTTGAAGCGGCCAAGAGCAAACAGAGGCCGCAGAAGCCAGCCCAGGACGGAACACCGGCATCCCCAGCCCCAACTCTGGCAGGTGGAGCAGCCGGAGAGCCACAGAGCAAAGGTCAGTCCCGAAGTCTCTGCCATCCCCACTCCAGGTCTAGTTTCTGACAAGGGGTTGAGAGATTGCTGCTTGTGATTATTTTGGCTTGTGTTGGAGCGAGCAAACACACATACACACAGGAAAAGGGGGGGCACCAAAAGTGCAGGGCTCAATACATTTTCCCATTCTGAATATGCTCAGGTCAACATAATTTCCTAGGGCTACCTGACAAATGGCCATGGGCTGGGGGGGCTTAAACAACAGAATATTTTCTTACACTTCTGGAGGTAAGAAGCCTATGATCAAGGTGTTTGGTTCCTTTACAGGGGTTCATGTCTTGCTTCTAGAAGCTTGTAGCTTCCAGTGGTTGCAGTTCTTGATGCATAGATGCACTGTCCCAATCTCTATGTCTGTCTTCTGTTACCTTCTCCCATGTCTCTGTGTTTTCACAAGGTCTTCTCATAAGGACACCAGTCATTGCATTAAGGGCCCACCCTATCCAGGGTGGCCTCATCTTGACAGGTTACATCTGCCAAGACCCTGTTTCCAAAAAAGGTCACATTCTGAGATTCCTGATGGACATGGATTTTGGACAGACACTTTTCAACCACCTACACCCTCCCCCCTGGAGTAACTGTGTTCCTGAGTCTTGTCAGTGTATGATCAGTTTTGCTAGGCTTTTGTGCCTGAACATTCACTGTAAGATTTCTTCCATGGTGTTGCAGGTAGCTGTAGTTTGTCCTTTGGCATTGCTGTGTAGTACTCCATTGCACGATCACACAACTGTCTGTCTGTCTGTCTATCTATCTATCTATCTATCTATCTATCTATCTATCTATCTATCTATCTATCTATCTACCTTTTCTCCTCTCATAGATATTTGGGTAGTTTCCAGGATTATGCTGTTATGAATAGTGCTCTTGGAACATTCTGAAACATTTTTGGTGATTTCAGCTTATTCAGTCAGCTAATAACTATAAAGTATCTGGGCTGTGAGTGCCTTCTGAGACCACTCTGTCCAACTTTATGATTTCAGATGGGGAAACTGAGGCCAAAGAGTCCACATCTCCCCAGTGAGTTAGTGGGAGAGTGGGGTCTGGCTTTAGCTCTGGTCATCCCTACACATGGACCCTCCATTCTGCCATGCCACCCCCATTTTGTCAATGCTTGCGATCATGGTCTTGAGTCATCTCTAGCCTCACTCATAGTGATGCCTCCCCTCTCCCCAGCAGCTCCTCCTCCCGACCCCTCCCTCCAGCCATCACTGACTCCGGACCCCACACCGAGGGAGCCAGCCCACCCAGACCTCCTGGATGCTGCCTCTTCTTCTTCTTCTTCTTCCTCTTGCCCACCCTGCTCCCCAGAGCCTGGGTCGGAGGTGCCAGAGCCGGAGCCGCTGGCGGCTGCCGTGGGAAGCAGTGTGAGCGGGGAAGGCCGGAGTGAGAAGGGGCGTCTCTACTGCCCCACGTGTAAGGTGACCGTGAACTCCACCTCTCAGCTTCAGGCTCACAACACAGGTCAGTGGCCCCACGAGCTGGAGTCAGGGAGGAGGGGGGCAGGGAGGCTGCCCCTCACCCGATGTGGCCGACTGGAGTTCTGGGCACTTTGTTTAAGGGCTCGGGGACAGGTGTGCTCAGCTGTCAGCCAGGATCTCAGGGTCTCCCACTAATGCCTGAGGAGGGAGAATGGGGAAGAGGAGTCTGAGGTTGCCTAACTGAGGGTCACTCCAGACAAGATGGGGGACCTCCTCCCTCTCTCCTTAGGTCAGATCCAGAAGGGCTTGAGATGAGGACGGAAGCTGACAGTGGCACTGTAAGAAGGCCTTTCTGGTGAAGGCTGGCACAGATTGAGAGCAGCTGGGGGTGGGGTGGGATGAGAGATGGGAAAGTGAAGTCTCCTGTGGCCAGAGGGATAGGCTGTGCAGAGCAGCCGGAGGCTTGCAGGGACCACCAGACTGACCTAGTTAGGAGGGGCCGCCGTGGCCCTGGCAGCCCCCATCTGGTGCTGACAGTCCGGCTTCTCTTCCCTCCAGGAGCCAAGCACCGGTGGATGGTGGAAGGCCAGCGAGGACCTCCCCGGAGGGGCCAGGGCCGCCTGGTACCGCGGGAAGGAGCTGGACACAAGGCCAAAAGAGTGTCTGGGGGTCGGGGGAGCAGGCAGGGGCCCAGCCCCACCTTTCACTGTGCTCTCTGTCAGCTCCAGGTCAATTCAGAGACCCAGCTCAAGCAGGTGGGAAAAAGAAGCGGGCTGGGACTGGGGTTGGAGCAGGGGTGAGGGAGGACTAGGGCCAGGTGAGGAAAGAGGCTGAGGGGAGAAGGTGGGGAGAACCGAGCCCCGGAGCAGGGTCAAAGTAGAGGATCAAGTGTGACCGGACAGTGGGGTCCTGGGGGGCAGAGGCCAATGTCCCTCCCCTCTCCCAAGGGTAAAACCGGTAAATGTGCATCAGTGCCTGAACTGGGAGAGGAAGGGTGATCTAGTCGAGGGTGGGGGAGTGGTTTGGGGGTTCTTGGGCTTCCTCATCTTGTTCCCAGCCTGTCTGTCTGTCCATTAGCACATGAGCAGCAGGAGACACAAAGACCGCCTGGCCGGGAAGCCCCCCAAGCCCTCCAGCCAGCAGAGCAAGCTGCAGAAGCATGCAGCGTTGGCTGTGAGTATCCTCAAGGTATCTGTCTACAGGCAACAAAGCTGGGATGGTCGGGAGGGGAGAGGGTGGCCCGGAAGGGAGGACCAGCTGAGGGGGTGGGGCAGGAAGGAAGCCACACACAGCCCTGCCCCCACGCTGTCTGGGTTGGGGTTTTGGTTGTCTTGGGATCTACCCAAAGGAATTTCCGGCAGGTGGGCTGGGGTGGTCAGCTCAGGGGCCTGAGCAAGGGGTGGGCTGGGCGTGTATCTCCTAGAGACCACATCTACTCCCAACCCCCATAGCCTCCTCCCTTTGCCCATCCTGACTGTCCTCCCTCCGGCCAGGAAGACAGGTGGTGGAGAAAGCCCTTTGGAATGGGTGTTTGGGTGTGGGGAGAGGATTTAGGTTTGGAACCCTAAAAGGCACGTTTTTCCTGCAGCAAAATCCCAAGGATGGAGCCCAGGGAGGGAGTGGAATCTTCCTGGGGTCAGATACTGTGTCAGATACTGCCCTCTCTCTTCTTTGTAGTCCAAACTGGCCTTGCAGAAGCAGCTCACCAAGACGCTGGCGGCCCGCTTCCTGCCCAGCCCGATCCCCACTGCAGCCGCGGCCATCTGTGCCCTGCCTGGGCCCCTGGCCCTCCGGCCTGCCCCTACAGCAGCCACCACCCTCTTCCCGGCTCCCATCCTGGGCCCAGCTCTGTTTCGCACCCCGGCTGGAGCTGTCCGTCCTGCCACGGCACCCATAGTCTTTGCCCCCTATTAGCTGCCCCTGGAGGCCGGGGCTGATTTCTCGGCAGTGGGCATCCAGCTCCTCTGCACCTTGCCCTGAGATGCCCAGGTCCCTGCATCCCACAGAGGACTGCTTTTTGCAGCCTAGGGGTTTCTGCTGGATTAATTTTAAGGACAGCTGCCCTTCACTCTGTCTAGACTGGAGGTTCAGCTAATCCCCCCTGGTCCAAGGACCATTCCCACCTTCCAGGACTAGTCTTAGGCTCCCCGGCACTTCCCAGTCTGATTTATGGGGAATAAACTGATAAATTCCAAAGATCTATGCAAAACCCCACCCCAGCCCTGTGGTGCTCATTTTGCCCACCCAAGACCTTTATCTACATGGCCAGATGCCCTAGGGATCTTAACTAGACAGGGGACAACTCCAGTGCCCCAGGGAAACTGTCGCCACTTGCTGGATTCTCTGGCCAATCGCTGGAGGGGCTCCAAGGCCAACCGGACAGTGACCGTGTGGAGGAGAAAGGAAGCAGTGCCAAGGTGGGGGTGGGGTGCTGGCTGCTCTGGGGCCTCATGCTGATGGATGGATGCAGCTAAGAGAGGGATAGGTGAGTGTGATGTTCTGACCGCCCCATTTTAAGAGTGACCAGTCCCATAAAAGCTCTCCCCTATTCCTCCTGAACCCCAGCTCTCAGCAGAGAACTGGGTCTCCCTCAGACTATGGACCTAGCTGACACCAAATCCCCCCAGAATGCCCAAATGAAGAGCCTCCTCTTCTAGCTCCCCACCCCAAGCTGGTCCCTAGCACCACTTAGCTTTCCCTCCTCCCATCCAGCACCCCAAGTTCCAGCTCACTGTAAAGCTGAGTATTGGGACCCCTTCGAAGACCCACTTTCATGCTGTCAAAGTCAATGTCACCACCTCCATCCCACCCCACACCCCCTCACCCCATGATATGGGACTTTGCCAGTGTCCACCTGTGTTTTTGTTTTTTAAGATATTCCCAATGAATGGACATAGAAAAAAGGGAGAAGGGCGGGGAAATTTTTGGTAACAGTTGTGGTTTTATTGTGTCTGACAAATCAATAAATGAACTTTAAACCTGAACTTATGGCCTTACTCAACCTGCCCAGTCCTGGACCACCCGCCCATGCTCATCACTCCCGTTTTGGGGAGAAGGGGCGTGTCCTGGAGGTGCCTGGCTAGAGTTGTCTCAGCTCTGCTAGCAGTGCACATTAGGAAAGCACACGGGCACAGGAAGTTGTGGGTCATGAGCTCACCCGACAGCATGTTGAGCGTGACCACCCTTCTGTGCCCTGACAGATCTGTGGGCGCCTGAGAAGCTGCTACTGGTTTGCCCTGTTCTGTTCAGGCATCTGAGGTAAGGAAGGGCTAGAGGAGCACCTTGTCCAGCCTTCACCATGGCAGCAGGCCAATTTATAATTGGTAAATTTATAAACAGAAGTCCAGCTGTTAGCTGAAAACAACCACAGGAAGGGGTGAAGACCAAACCCACCAGGATGAGGTCCCCCATTGGCCACTCGGAAACCAGAGTGGATAGTGCACTCCTGCCCCCTGGTGGTTGGGGGAGAGAGTGTCCCAGCCTCCAGGGCAGTAGCCTTAGCACCTTGAATAGGGATAAGCAAAGGATACAGTCATAATCTAGTTGGGTCACAGTCAGCTGGAAGCCAGGGCATTATAAAATTATAGGACTAGAGAGGCTCTAGAAGGTCATCTAAACAATTCCCATCACTTTACAGATGAGGAAACTGAAGCCCAGAGACAGGAAAGGCCTTGGTGGGTCACAAAGCCAGTTGGTGATTCATGGCCCATACATCATTCCATTCCTCAACCAATGAGCGCCATGTGCTCTCTAAGCAGGAAGAGAAACAACTGGGGAAAGAGGTAAAAGAGAAAATCTCACTTCCCAGGCCAGCTTCTTAGGGTAAAGGACAGGAGAAAGGTCAGGAACGTGGACGCGTACGCACACAGTACCCGACCACCCTTCTCCAGACTCCAGCTGGTGCCACCAATGTGTGAGGGGGGCATGGGGCCCCTGTGATAGGAACTAGGCCCTAGGGTGGGCACTTCTTCATGGTACCTCTGCTTCCTACCAGGCAGGCAGAAGGGGCACTAACCCACAACTGCCCCACGTCACGGCAGGGCAGAGATGATGAAAGCAGGGGGTGGTGGGGGCTGGGGGTTCTAACCTGGATTACCTGTGTTTCCTGGGGCTAGGAGGGAGCAAAAATGGCCCTAGCCTGGGACAGCCCAGCAGCCTGGCCTAGTGGGGTGCGCCCCCACTAACTGAGGACAGCTTGCCTAACCCCCTTCCTGGAGCTGGAATGGGCCTGGGAAGGTGGAGAAGAGATGCAGGTCTTCAGCCATCCAAGGAGCCGCTGCCCTTGTTCTTGCGGCTGAGGGGGAAGGCGGACTTGCTCTGGGGCTGGGTCATCTTGCTGGCCAGGTAGATGAAGGGCTCCAGGAGGGATCTGCGGTCAGCCACTGACACCTCCCACAGCTTCACCTTCTCTGACTTGGCCCAGTGCTGAGCCACATCTGGGTCCACGCGCCGCTGCTCCTGCAGGTCGCACTTGTTGCCGAGGACCACAATGGTGACCTGAGGATAGGGACAGAGGTTGGTGGCTATACCATGGGCTTCAGGAATGGGTGTGAGAGCTGGTGACCCTCTAGGTGTCCTAGAAAGAAAGTCTCAATGGCTGACACCTCATCCTTTCCTATAGCAGAAATCATGGGCGAGGGGGGATGTTGAAGCTGCTTTTTCCTTCTCCTTCTTATTTCAAATTCTGAACTCCAGCTGGCCTTCCTCCAAGAGTTCCATTACAAGCCCAGTGTCACCCGTGACTGCTCATTACTAGCAATCAATTTCTGCCTAAACTGCCTGCAGCTTAAAGGGGGATTTAAGAACAGAAGGGCCTTCATAGCTAAGAGAACAAAACACTTATAAAGAAACACCAAAGAGGCTTCCTGCCTTAGGTCAAGGTCTTCTTAAACTGAAGAGAAGTCTACTGGGTTGAACTGCCTCAATATGTGGCCACCTCAAAGGTGCAACACACGCTCCAAAGGCCTCCATCCCCCTTCTAGCTCCTAATCCACTCCTTAACAAACAAGTGAAAAACAGCCATGCCAGGCCTCTAGGTAGCCCCCGGCCCCTCACTCATCATCCAGGCTCCCACACAAACCTCCTTCTTGTCCTTAGACTTGTCAATCTCCTTCTTAAGCAGTTCCACTCGCTGAAAGGACTCTCGACTGTCAGTGCTATAGACCAGAACGTAGCCGTCAGTGCAGGAGAAGCAGTGTCGGGGCAGCTCTGCCCCATCTCGGAGCCCCCGGGTATCGTAGAAACGCACCTGCTCCCGGACCCCCCGGTCCGTCTCAATGGAGCCCACATAGATATCTTCCTGTGTTTCAATCATCTCGGAACCTGGGATAAATGAGAAAACTTGTTTGTAGGGAGGAGGGAGATGGGTAGATCCTAATGGGCCGGCCAGACAGGAAGAGAAAGGAGTGTGGGGGCTGAGGAGAGGGAGTCCGAGGCTGAGAATCTGGCCAAGTTGGAATGATGGGGGAACTGATTAACCTCATGCTAATGCTGGGGTAAGTGTGACTGGGGAGCTTTTCCTCCCTATCTCAGATACTGTTTCCTCCTTCCACATTTGTTCAGATTTGCTGGAGGATGGAGAATTATGATGTAGATTTTTTTTTTAAGATTTATTTTTATTTATTTGTTTGTTTGTTTATTTATTTATACAAGCACTGGGTACAGTCAGAAGCGCGGGAGGGTGAGAGAATTCACCTGAGCCAGAGCGGGGAGCAGAGCAGGCAGAAGGACCGAAGTACACTGCTGAGGGGAGCAGCGGGCGGCAGGAGAGGTCTGCGCGCCATGTGGGACCCTCCTCTGGTGGCCGGGGAGCAGCTGGGGATCGAACCGGCACTGCAGAGGCTGCGGGCAGCATCTCAACTGCTGCACCACTGGGGAGGCCCATGATGTAGATTTAACTCTTTCAGGTGCAGTGATAATCAAGAGCAGCTTTTTTAGCCTTTGCATATGATCAAAGCCTATTCCTTCTTCTCCAACTCCTCCCACCAACCCTTTGGTCCCCAACAACACTCACCCACTACATGGTTCCCGTATAGAAGCTGCTCCAGGATTGAGGTTTTGCCCACGGATGCCTGGCCACACACGACCACCTTGCAGCTCTTCCCCATGCTTAGCCTCCAACCTTGAATTGAAGAACAGAAGTGCACTGGGTGAGGTGAGGCAAGACAGGATCAAAACAGAGCCGACCTCCCAGAACAGAAGAGCCCAAATTTTGACCTGACGAGTAGCCTCAGGAATTCAGCACTGCTTGATCTGGGGTGCATCAAAGGGATGTGTCTGCATCCACTACAGGAAAGTGAGGTGACATTATTCATCTTTGTTAATTTCAGTATATGGCCAGTGGAGCAGGTGATCAGAAAACGTTGCCTCACAGGGGGAAGAGTCGCTGGTTTAAAGGATTCCCTACCGTGCACAGCACATAACAAAGGCACCTGGGCTCAGCTGTTTCTTTTCAACCATGACACCACACATGTGTCTTAAACCACTCTTCCTTGGGGCAGCAAGCAAATAAAGAGGCTGTATCGCTTTCTTGTATGACTATGTGGACAATTCCTTCTAATTCCCAGTCAAGTCTATGGGTAAGATGAAAAACATCAAACAGGAAAGAAAGGAGCTGACCAGAGGAGCTAGGCATCTAAACCAACAATTTCAGAACAGCATGGTAAGAGCTACTGCAGAAGGAATCTTAGGGAAAGGCTTTGGAACATCATCTTTGCTGCATTTGGACTGACAGACTCAGATGAGAAGGCACACAAACACACACACACACACACACACACACACACACACCCCTCTTGTGCAAAGAGGTCCCAGAGCTCTCCCTCCAAGCACCACCAGAAGTAGTCCCAGGCAGAAGTTCCCCCGGAAAGCAGATACAATCCTCCCCAAATGGGGTCCCAAACAGAGGTCCCTCTGCAAAGGGATCTCTCTCTTTTTTCAAAAAAGATTTACTCATTTATGCATACAGGAGCTGGGGTACAGGCCAGAGGTGTGGGGGTGAGAGGATTCACCAGAGACAGAACAGGCAGATCTGCTGAAATACACTGCTGAGGGGAGCAGCGGGCGAGACCGGAGAGGTCTGCTGCGCCATGTGGGTAGCTCCCAGGCGGGGGATCGAGCTCAAGCTGCAGTGGCTGCCCACAGCTTGACAGCGCTGCCTTTAACCCCTGCGCCACCAGGGAGGCCCTGGGAAGGAACTCTTGATACAGGCCTCCCTCCCCTTCTATCGAGGGGCCCTAGAGAATAAACCCCACCGCAAGGGCTAGCCCAAGAGAGACAAGCGCCGGAGGGGCCTCGGTCACAGATTATCCCCCGAGGGGACCCCGGCGGGAATCGGAGACCAGTCACCTAAGGCGCCCCGGCCGCGGCGGCCCACCCCACGTCCCAGCTCCGTACCTCCCGGGCCCCTCGCAGCACCCGGGCCGGGACCTGGAGGCGCGGCTGGGTCGGGGAGGCAGCGCCGACTCCCGAACTCCGCTCTCCTCCGGCTGGAGCCAGGCCCCGCCCGGCGCCGCCCCCCAGCTTCCGTCTGGGAAGTGCAATTCCGACGGCGGAGAGCGGGCGCCGGCCGCACAGCGCCCCCAGCGGCCGGCGGGGGGATGGCGGCCGAGGGCTGGGCCGCCGCTGCGCCGGGCACACGCTGCTAGGCTCCTCGGACGCGGGGTGCTGTTCTTTCTGGGGTCTCTGATACCCCAACACTCTTTCTCGAAAGGCTACCATAGTACAGTCACACTTCGTTTATTTATCAAATGACTTCTGAGCACCTGCTCCGTGCCAGGGACAAGACCATATGCTGAGAAAAAGCGGGCGGATTAGATCCAGTAGAGTGTTGCCGACTAGAGGAGCGAGACATCTGAACCAACAGTTTCAGGACAGCATGGTAAGAACTGTTGCAGAGGCGTCATTACAGAGGAAGCCTAGCAAAGGGGGCATTTAACTTGAGGGCAGCAGCATCTCGGAGAACTTCCTGGAGGAGGTCATGTTTGTGTTGAGGTTTGAAGGGCTTGCGAGGAAAGGGTGGAGCCATGGCAAAGCCTTGGTGTTTTCTGGAACTGCAATATTGATGCTAGAAAGGACAAATAATCAAAGGCCTTGCGTGGTAGGCCAGAGAGTTCAAACTGTATCCTAACTGCAGCAGAAAGCCATTGACAGATTTTATGCCAATGAAGTGATGTCAGTTTTTGCTCTTAAGAAGGCCACTCTGGTAGAAGAGGGAAGATTGGAGACAGATGAGATGGGGGCGGGTCAGTTAAGAGACTACTGGGTAGAGCCTCCCTGGTGGGGTAAGGGGTTAAGCACCACACTATGAAGCTGTCTGCAGTCTCTGCAGCACGAGTTCAATCCCTGACAGGACAGGGAGCTACCTACATGGCAAAGCAGACCTCTCCTGTCTCACCGGCTGCTCCTCTCAGCAGTGTATTTCAGACAGTCTGCCTGGTCTGTTCCCCACTCTGTCTCTGGTGAATCCTCTCATCCCCCACATCTCTGGCCTGTACCCCAGCTCTTGTATGCATAAATAAATAAATCTTTTTTTTTAAGATTTATTTTATTTATACAAGAGCTGGGGTACAGTCCAGATGCGTGGGAGGGTGAGAGGATTCACCAGAAACAGAGTGGGGAACCGAACAGGCAGATTGATGAAATACACTGCTGAGGGGAGCAGCAGGCAAGACAGGAGAGGTCTACTCACCATGTGGGTTGCTCCGAGGCCGGCGGGGATCGAACCAGCACTGCAGAGGCTGCAGACAGCTTCACAATATTGTGCTCAACTGCATGCGCCACCAGGGAGGCCCTAAATAAATAAATCTTTAAAAAGAGAGAGAGAGAGACTATGGTAGTATTGCGAATTTTTTTTTAAATGATGAGAGCCTGAATTGGGAGGGGAAAGAGAGATTGGGGAGACATTTAGTAGGATTATCAACAAGAATTGGTGATAAATTGGAAGTCAGGGAGGAGTGAGAAAGGGAGGAATCATGTTTTCTATCTCATTCTGTGACCAGCTGAATGGTGAATCTTTTTAACAAGGTAAGAGAAGCACCTATTGGTGAGGGGTGGGGAAAGCATCAAACATTCAAGAGATATCCAGTAGAAAGCTGGATAGATAGATCTGGAAGAGAGGTCTAGGTTGAAGAAGGGAAACAGAGTTGAGAGTCTGTAAAGTTGATGCAGTTAGTTGGCTTGATGCAGAGAACACAAGTGGGAAGCTGGTTAAAGACGGCTGGCCTCCTGACCCAAACTGCACACTGTGAGCCATTGGCAGGCAGGGCCAGTGGTCTGTGAGTCTGTGCCCTCCCAAACTAGCAGAGTGGGCACTTTGGAGAGGGCTATGGCAAGACAGGCTGGATAAATGCTCTACAAAGCACTGAGCTGCTTGCCATCTCCCACCCAGTGGTGGGTGTGGCTTCAGCTACCCCAGCACTATGATAGGCAGGGACCATACAAGCAGCTTATGGACAGTGTCACAAAGTGTTTTGTTGGAGAAAAGAGTAAATCCATTTTAAATTTTCTGTTCCTTTCTTCATTTAGTTTCCCTTTAGCTTTAAAAATTTAATCTCAATCTAACCCCAGAAAGTTCCACTTTAATTCAAGCCACAAATATTATTGGTTAGGGTGAGGGAAGTACTACAAAGATGATTAAGTTGTATTTTTGCCATCTATTAGGTCCCAATCCAGACAGCATTTGGCAAGAGAAGCGTGCTGAACAGGGAGTTTATATGAGGGGCGGGAATATCGGGGACACGGGGGCAGGGACCTCACCCCGTGAGCTGCCTTATAAACTCCAGGGCAGGGTCTGAGGCATCGTGCCACCCTCCCTAGGCTTAATGCTGAGATGGCACTCCCAGGCGGCTGACATGAAAGCAGCCTCATAAAAGGACCAGCGTCATTAGGGTGATGAACCAGTTGGTGCTTGGAGATCCAGAAGGGATGAAAGGCGGGGGTGAAGACGCCCTGCGTTCCCCTCGCTTGGTTGGGCAGGGCTTCCAGGGCCGATGAAAGCTGGGGGAACTGGGCTCAAAGTGTCTCTTCTGGCCTTTCCCGAGAGGAAGCTGTGGACACACTCCAAGGTCGGAAAGGTAGTAGTGGGAGCGCTTTCCTTCCAGAGTCCTGGGTCGCCGGGATCTCAGGCAACAGACTCCCTTAAGCCTTACTGGAGACGCTCTAGGATTGGAAGTTGCTATGGCAACGAGGCTCTCGGACTACTGAGGAAAGCCAAGGCCTAGAGAGGCAACAGCCACCTGTACCCGCTTCCGACCCTCGGGTAAAGTGGCGCCCCCTTCGCACAGGAACCGTCCCTGGGCCTCCGCCCTGACGCGGAGACCACCGTGGACCTCCGGGGACGGGAGGCCGCTCTGGCCCCAAGTGGATCCTCTCGCTGGTAGACGGGCTCGAGGGAGCCACTCTGGGCGCAGCTCCGCCGAGCGGCTCGATGCTCCGACCGGAAGTGCTCTTCACCGCCGGCCTCCCACCCGGCTCTCTGGTCCCGGCGGTAAGATGGCGGCTGCCGCGGAGTGCGATGTGGTAATGGCGGCGACCGAGCCAGAGCTACCCGACGACGAAGAAGCGAAGAGGTAAACGGGGTGTCAAGGTAGTAGAAGGGTGCGCTTCAGCTCCATGGCTCCGGGAAGTCCGTCCTTGCCATGATCATCTCCTAGCTGTTGCGGCCATGCCCCGCCCTCCGAAAACAACCCCCCCCAACCCCCTCACACACCTGAGGTAAAGTCCGGATGGACCCCCTGAAGGGGCGCTCTCTGAGGTCGGCCCTCCCTTCCCGCTTCCGCCTGGCTGGGAAGCTGAGTCCGGCCTTGTTACCGCGCAGAGGAAGGTCGTTCTTATTGTAAAGGCCAGGTCTCGAGGGCATCTCAGAGGTCTGCTGCGGGATGGGGGAGGCGGCGCGGCGTCGTTGACGACTTCCTTACAACGCCCCGGACCCCCGCCTACTCTTCTTCACTTCTGTGCATTGTTGCCTGTCAGCACTTTGCATCTCCAGAGCCCTTGCCCTCCTCTCCTTCTTTCCACAGTAATTACACCCCTGACACCACTAGTCTGGATCTAAGCTGATTTTCTTCATTTTGACCTGATTGCACCCGGGTTACCCCAGGAGTCGATGATTATGATTGAGCGTGAAGGAAGTGGGGGGGCGCTTGTGTAATGCTCTACACATTAAACTCCTCTCCTCCCTTTCTTCCTAGGATCCTCCTCCTTCCCAGGACTATTCTTAAGTTAGGTAGCAAGGAGGAGGGCAGCTTCTTGGGCACTCTTGGCACTGCTGGACAGCTGCAGTGGCTCGGGATTGCCAGTACTGACTAGCCAGGGAAACTGCTGAGTGAGAGGTTGTCCAGAACACTCTGGATTCTGGCTACAACTAAGGCTGCTGGAGGTCGGGTTGAAACACGGTTTGGATAGTCATACTAGTCCTCATCTTAATTCTAAAGTAGAATTAACAAAAAAGACTATGGACCTTTGGAGTCATTTCCTTATCAACTGCAGATTACAGTCTGTTTCCCACGTATTTATTATCTTTATATGCCAAGCTCCTTATTGCTTCAGTCTGGGTGCTTTGAGGTGGTGATGTAGAATTAATTCATGAGATCTGAAATCAGGATTCCGAGATTTTTTGCTATCCAAGTGAGGCATGTAAGAGGTGAGGCAGAGTGAGTAGTTACCAAGTTTAAGAATATTAGTGCAACCTTTGCCCCAAGTGCCTGGCCTTTTGGGACCTGACAGAGAAGGCAGGGTACCAGAGACTAGTCTTTTTCTCTACTTAGTTTTGAGTTTTTCACATCATTCCTAGTTGTTTCCAGCTAGAATGAAGCATCGTCAACATCGAGAAACTGAAAAATGGGCAACAAAGCTCCCTGACACAGAAAGTTTATCTGTCAGGATTTACTTTACTTGGGCTTGAAAGAATTCACTGGTTCTTTGTGCTATAAATAGGTACTTGGGCTATATATAATTTAAGAAACTCATCCTGTTCAGTTTAAATCACTGGTGTAGGGTTGTTCCTAATTTGAGTTCTACTTCAAAACCCCCTATCCAAAGCAAATCTCTTCCTTAATAAAATAAAATCACAATCATAGATGATATTTTATCCTGTCATGAAATGGTAGTAAGTGAACAGGGAGATACATTAAGACACCAAACACATGATGCAGTGATGTGGCCACATCACCCCAAAACAGGATGTTTGGTAGCACAACCAAATAAGGGTGTCGCTGATGTTAACTGCTCTATCTCGTGGAGTTTGTTGTCATTAACTGTGAAATAAAGTTTTAACTGCCAAGGAAAACAAATTTAATTATGAAAAAATGCATTCTTACCAAATAGATTTATGTTATACAAATGTTTCTAGAATCTCTTTTAAAAAGACAGTAAAACAGATGGTATATGATAAACATTTATATGAGCAAATCAGAAGGAAAATATAATAGAATTTAAAAAAAAATTTGACTTTCAGGCATATAAGGCATCCTTAGGATAAACATTAGGCTTTGTTATTAAGGAAAAAAACTTGTTTATGGTTTTTCAGTGCTAAAAATGGAGATTTAAAAGTTTAAGAAGAATATTATTTTACATTTTTCACATATCCCGAAATCCTGTGCAGCCATAATAGTGGCCAGGGAGAGGGGCATCCTTTACAGTTGCCCTTTATTGTCTGGCTTGGTTAGTCATTTGGCCAAGTTCATGTCTCCTGTTATAGTCCTACTGCCAGTTTGCTTGGGGAGAGGTGAATTGTGTTGTTTCTGTGAAGTTCTGCAAGGGTTCCTTCCTTCCTTTCGTCTTGGCTCAAGGGCATCCTGCTGCTGCTACTAAATTGTCACAGTCCCACAGGGGCAAAATGAGAGGAGCCTTCAAGACACTGCAGCATTTTAAATAGCTACGTGCTTTATTTCCTCAGCTTTAGTGTCTCTAGAGAGAAAAGAAATGGACAGCAGGTTTTTTTCCTGTCACTCTTACAAAGTTCTTTTTCCCCCATAGCAGCTGAGCGGCTAAAATAAAATATGTATTAGTTGACACTCCAAAATAGATCAAGGTTCTGTACATGAAGATTATTTATTTCTCATTGCTCACCAGAACAGATAAAGCTACTTGGGAGCCAGAGGGCTAAATTTGAGAGGTTTTACTTTTCAGCTAATTTAAGGCCTTACATTTTCCTGGGAAGTTGCTGCTGCTTTACATAGTATATGAATGCCTGTCTTTAGTGCAGAGGCTCTGGTTACATTTTCTGTATTGGAGACCAACTCGGTTTCTATAGGTAGTCTTAATTGTGGTAAAATTGAAGGATTTCGGATAGCTCTTTAGTAAAAGAAACACTTCAGTGTCTCAGCACATACCTGGCATGACCGACAGTGATGTCTAAAAGAACCAATAGGGGGCCTCCCTAGTGGCACAAGGGGTTAAGCACCGTACTATAAAGCAGTCCACACTGTGAAGCAATCCGCAGACTCTGTAGCACAAGTTTGATCCCCGGCCGGCCAGGGAGCAACCCACATGGCGCAGCAGACCTCTCCTGTCTCGCCCACTGCTCCCTTCAGCAGTATATTTCAGTCAGTCTGCTTGTTCTGTTCCCCACTCTGTCTCTGGTGAGTTCTCTCACCCCCCGCATTCCTGGCCTGTACCCCAGCTCTTGTATGCATAAATAAATAAATAAATAAATCTTTTAAAATTTTTTTAAGACTATTTTTTTTTTAAGATTTATTTTTATTTATTTATACACGCACGGGGTACAGTCAGAAGCACAGGAAGGTGAGAGAATTCACCAGAGCCAGAGTGGGGAGCAGAACAGGCAGAAGGACCGAAGCACACTGCTGAGGGGAGCAGCGGGCGGCAGGAGAGGTCTGCACGCCATGTGGGACCCTCCTCCGGTGGCCGGGGAGCAGCCGGGCATCGAACCGGCGCTGCAGAGGCTGAGGGCAGCTTTGCAACCCAGCGCTCAATCGCTGCGCCACCAGGGAGGCCCAATAAATCTTTTTTTTTTTTTAAAAAAAAAAAAAGAACCAATAGGAGCAGTAGACTTAGGAGCCAGGATGTCCTTACCTGATTACTTGAGCTAATAATCTTAACTTCTCTGTATCTATTTTTCAGATGGATGCGAACAAGACAAATATTTTAGACCTTCTGCTATTAGATATCTAGGTATTGTAAACCCTTTGTGGATTAGGATTTTACCTTTAATTCTTTACCCTTATTATCAGTGAGCATGAAACCCTGGATCCATATCCTAGAGTCTGCTGCAGTTGCTATTTGTTTCCTGCTGCTTCTTGGAACATTTTGAGGTTGATGACCTTATTTAACTGTACAACTTTTGGGGATGCCTTCCCACTCCTTTCTTCCTCAGTCTGTTTTAAATTCTTGGGCTTTTGTAGCCCTGGTCTCTAAGTTCCTAAGGCAATTGGCTAGACATTTCATTAAGACTGCAAGTTGGATGCAAATTTATCTTTGACTTTGAACTCAAATCAATAAAAAACACTGCTCCAACCTTCCTTTTGGTGTACTTACAGTGTGGGGTCCAAGATGTAGAAATGGGAACTAGGGCAAATTAGTCACGGTTAAGGACGAGAAACTTAGGAATACAGAACCCTGAAAACCAGCAAAGTAATTGAACCCTGATAGTCACAAGTGGCAAAATTGTTAACTAATTGTAACTAGAGCAATGGTGGAGTACAGAGGGTAGGTATCTTTTTTCTTGCTGCTTTTAATTCATATCAACCAGAACCAGGTAACTTGAATAATTTTAATAAAATGTTGAGCCAAGTGACAGTTACTCTAGTGTGTAGTCTGTTCCCAACGACCAGAACTCTGATTGGCTTACAGCACAGTCTTATTGTACATTCCAGCCAATCAGGGATTAGTTTACTCATTGAAACTAGTGTTTTAAAAGTTTTTAAAAGCTGAGTACTGGGCACTTGCCTTTGCTTTCTTTCTCTAGGACTTTAGAAGAGAACAATGATCAGCGGCTGCCTAGGTGCCTTACCTGATGCAGAGTCCCTCTGAGAGCCCATTTCTCCCTTTCTCCACTAATGTTTGGTCCCCTTTCTCCAGTGCTGAGTCATGTGGAAGTTACTTAGAGGTCGTTCCAGGTATTCTTTTAAACTGTCTGAATTTCAGCAGTAAGAACAGAATTCAGAATACAAATTATTACAGTAGCCTATTCATTGTATTGGAGTGACCATTTTTTTTCTTCCCCAGGCAGATCAAAAATGGCAGTTGCTGTTTTACCCCATGTTAGCCAGGGGTATGAGTGGTTGAGACTTTTGTGGATGGTAATATGAGGAAGAATATTTGACTTTTAAAGTCCGGTTCTGAGACCTGATGTTCTATTGTCATGTCATTTAATCTTAGCGTGGGAAGGCCAGATTGTCAAATAAGCAAGATGTTTACCTTCTCTTCTTT